CATTATTTTTCAGTAAAATGAATCAAAAACAAAGCCAATTTGTATCTTCAAATTAAAAAAAAAGTTATAAACAACAGAGATTGAAAAAAAAAAAAAATCCAGAGAAACCCAGTCAATCTTCTGGCTACAACACGAACAAATCTTTTCCAAAAACTACACAGCCATTTTCTCTCCAGATTCTGAAACACATTCACCAGGGCTGTCTGCTGTAACACTCTTCCTCTTAATTTTCCTGAAAAGATGTTTCCTTTGCACTGTCCCCTGCGGACAAGATACAAGAACCATCCGTTCTAATTAAAATACAAGTTTTCCAAGAAAAACAATTGCCAATCACAAGATGAACAGGACCCTGGCAGCAAGAATACAAAACTAGTGAGGGGAATAAAAAAAACAAAACCAAAAAAAAAAACTTCACTGACATCCGTCTACCACTGTGCATTCTCTCCACACTTGCAAACAATAAAATCAGTATCTTCATTTAAAAGATGCTTAATATTGCTTTCGTATTACAATCTATAGAGATTAAAGGCAGGATTACAGTTATTAGACCTATAATTTTATTTTAATTCATATAAAGTCTGAACATAGACATAGTGAAAATGCGATCCTTCCAGTCATAGAAGCCTTCAGGACCTAAAAAGTATAGCTGCTCAGAAACTGAGAGGGCACATCAGAGAAAAGAAACGGTACAACAGCAAATGTTTGCACTATGCAACTTTAACAGCAAAATTTATATTATGTCTGGTAAATGTAAACAGCTAATTAACGTCAGCCTCGCTTTGGTGCTTGTCTGAAACAGACACCAGAAGAGTCAGGGCATGATTTGGCAGGAGAAAAGGATGGCAAAAAGGAAAACAGTTGCACCCAAAAACAGATACAGTGAATGTCAGGTATCAAAGCAAACAAAAAAACAAACCAGGAAGTAAGTTTGCAAAACATTTGGGAGAAAAACCAAGCTCTCCCCAGCCAGCACAGCCAGCACTGAAGCTATGCTCTAGTTACGTCCCCTTTTACAAGTGTAGATACAAATGCCTTTTTGCACCTGCTTGAAAACCCGGGAAAGATCCCTGGACCAAATAAAAAACCCCAAGAGCGGAGGGAGGAAGACATTCCTGAGTTAAGCTTGGCATGGAGTTTTCCTAGTTGCTTGGTATAAGCTGGAGTTTCCTTCACCCAAAACTGGGTTTTTGCCAACGCAACGTAGGATACATTGAATAAAATGAATAAGCTGAAGTGGCTTGAATTTCTGTTCCCCTGACCTTCCCTGACAGGGAAAGGTCACAGAAGCTCTGTAGAGCATCTGAAGTTTAAGACCACAATGCCAGTCTCTCTCAAACCAGATGTTTTGATAGAGCATCCACTGGATTCCTCTCCTCATCTCAGTAGCCAGGACTGTACATCAGCTTCCCATTGCTGTCAGCTTCTTAACAGGCAAATTACCATCCTAATTGTTTAGCCTAACAGAATATATAGTTATACATATTCAAATGCTCAGGCTATCTGTTATCTCAGATCAAGAAACCTTCCTCCTTGGCAACAAAAATTGGTTTAAGTGTTGAAATATCAAACATGATACCTATTCCAAACAGCAAAAAGATAAATAAATGTATTGCTCATCTGTGAGCCAGTCACAGAGGCTAGCAAAACAGCTCTTTCAGATAGAAACATCCAACAGAACAGTCTATGTTAAATATTGTAAACTACACCTTCCCATTTAAAATCCCAAAATAGCATTAACAGAAGACCGAGCAAAAGTACTATATAAACATACGCCTGAAAGGTCATTTAAAAATCTCACCGTGAATTTCGTTAGTTGCTAGATCAATTTCACCATGATGTCTCTACTAGAATCAACACTACCAAGTGCAAATAAAGCCCACAACTTGTTTTTATAATGTCAGTATTGGAAGAACTTTGCTACAAAACTGACACTAAAGTTTGTATATAGCTAGGTCAATGACTTCTAAAAACCCAAAACAGATTCCAAGAATTAATGACCTGAAAAAAATAAAGGCAATTCATTTTTACATATCCCTTGGCAAAGATTTTGTTTGTTGTTTTTTTAAAATTTATTCTAAAATTCATGCCCACTTCCGTAGTGTAGATATTTCATTTTTGTGATAGCATCTGTGTGCCCGTAACATACAAAAGGCCATAACTAACCAAATTTCTTTTCTTCCCCTTGCCTCCTTTTATTATAGTTTGAATGTGTTTGGTTGAGGCACTTCAATACCACCTTGTTATCCCTTACAAGTACGGATCACAAAGCATTTGTATAAAACACATCAGAAGGTTGGGTATTACAGTATTATTGAACAAATATTGTTTATAGAGTATTCCTAGCCTGGACATTTTTTTGCACTTCAGTAATACATTTCTAAAAATGGAACTGAAATACTGAATTGGGGAAAAAAAATAGAACACATATCTGGGAATGGCAAAAAAACCCTGCAATAGTGATGAAATGCTGGCAGTCTGAGGGTGTGCTCTGAGTTTTACCAGCAGGAGAGTCTTCAATTTTCTGAATAGACCCTGTACTAGGATACAGAAATAACTTACACAGTATTTATGTAGAGAATGAGAAGGAATTCTCGTATGACAGAGTCTCAGGAACACCACTAGAAGTGCAAGAGGCCATCTAAATGTGTAAAGTTTACTGAGAAATATTTTGTAATTAGTACCAAAATCCATCTAGAAAGAGGAAAAATTGAGACACTTCAATTGCTCAGAACACAAGGTTGGTAGGAAATGAATCCCAAAACAACACAGGGGGCCAAAGGGGACATGGGAAACAGAGAACATTCAAAGCTAAATTAAGGATTATAAGCAGTTTCTAGTTCTACATGCTCCAGAAAAGAAAGAATTAACTTGATGCACAGAAGTAGAAATAAATGTGAACTGAAGAAAGGCACAAGCACAAAACAATAAAAGGGTAGAGAAGAAATACAGAAGACAGATGAGAAAAATAAATAGCAAAAACTACTTTAAAAACCATTTTTCTTCTCCTTGCTGAATATGTAGAAAGGTCATTTAGGAAAAGCAATAAGCAAACTGGAAGGAAAAAAAAAGCATAAATCAATTAACAGAGAATTACAGAAATCTTAACTGGTAGCATTTGTTGCCTAGAAAGAAAAATGGAGGTGCAAATTTCAAAATCATTTGTGAATATTATTCAAAGAAAGAAAGTAAAGACTGCATATGCCAGCAGGCTACAAACAAAACCGTGTGAACAAACTTAAAGGCCACATAGCACTTAACCAAAAATATCTCAAGAAACAAGATTATTTCAAGGCACGTTTCAAAAAACCACGGAATCAAGCTACCAGCAGCAAAACTATCAGATCTAAGGCCATATTTGAGACATCTCCAGAAATCTGGTCTACAATAAACTAACTTCAAATGAATAAAATAATAAAATTTTATTTAATTTTTTTTAAAACTAATTGCATAAAATAACCATCTACAGAATTACCGTGTCAGTAAAGACAATTATTCCTTCCAACAACCCTGACTAAAAACAAAACAAAAAAACCCAAGATACAGCTTGCTAGACATTTTGCTATATATTTTCCTTAACTCTGTAAAGGACTTTGTTTCGGCATGCTAGAAAATATCACGCTAATTCAAGGGTTTTTATGAATATACTGAATACAGCACTGAATGGATATTAATACTGATGGACAGACTATTGAGTCAAATGCATGTCAATACTGTCTTAACTCTCAGTACCTACTGTACACGCTTATTAAAAGTTAACTAGGACAAAGTTGTTTAAAAGGATGATAATTAAAAATGCCACTTCAATGCATTTCATAAAATGAAACTGAAAAAAATATTGATTTTACGCAGAAAAATGCCACACCTCTGCCTTGCACTTTCTGTTGCAGAACTAAACTAAAACAAAACGGGGGGAATACCCAGCTTACTTATATGATTTTTAATGTAAAGGAGATTAAATGTCTTCATAAAGCGATGGACTCCTGTCAGCTACAAAAGTGCCTAATATAGCTTACCAGTGCAAAATCTCTCCCACCCAATTCAAGTATTTTAGATCTATTTTATAAAATGGCTGATATAAAGTCAATTAATCTATCTGATTTATATTGGTAAAACAGAACGACAGCCGGCTGCCTCTCAGCCAGATCGACACTGTAGTTGCCTTTGAGCAAACCTATTCCATGCTTCAGCAATGCACAAGCTTTAAACGTAGAGATTGCGTTTTAAGGCATATAATGAAATCCCGGACTGCAGAGTCCTTGGTATTACTGTCTCAGGTAGGCATGCTATTATCAAGTAACATCACACGCTCAATACACACTGTTAATTTCACAGAAACAAAACCAGAGAGATCCATTAACTCCAAAGCTTTAGTTGCGTTTCACGTTTCATTTTCAATACCCTTAAGACTGCTGCAGTTCTGGTCACGCATGTTCTGCTCCCAAAAGTTGTGCTGAAGAACGGCGTCCCATTTGAACGGATCTAAAAGGGTCTGAGCTCTATCTTCGAGCCCAGCGGCAACATTATCGGGCTGAGACACACACGTTGCGACTGCTACAGCCGACAAAGGCTGCCTTCGCCCCTCACCTTCGCTCCCCATCCTCCGCCAAGACAAAGAGGTCCAAACCGGCAGGAGAACTCGCAGCGAGGCGAAACGCTCCACGCCTTCAAGACGCCGTTCCGCTACCACATCCCTTTTATTCGCGGCGGTAGTCAGAGAGGGGAAGCCAACCCGACCGGCGATGGCGGTCACGCTGAAGCACAGGGCCGGGCAGCGGGCCCACGGTGCCACCCGCATCCCCGGTGTGGGGGGCCGACGTGGGGCCACGGGAGGAG